TTGCCCTCAACCATCTTGATGGAGTGGTGTTTGTCACTCCTGGGTAAAGGGACAAATTAGCTCTTCTACAGCAGCTACTCAGAGACACCTGAGCATCTGAGAAGTGCACACCTGATATGGGAGTAGATGAGGAAAAAAGTCTCTCCACAAGGTGTTAAGTCCAGTCAAGGTATGTAGGATGATGACTGACTATAGTAAGCACACTGGTCTTATATGGGAGAAGTTGGTCAACAGAGCTTCTGTGCAGATTCATGAAAAGAGCTACACTAATTCATAGCAGTTAAATATCTGCCCCCTTGACTTCACTTTGCTATTCAAATAGGTAAATAGCTTCCAAAATATGCAGGAATGCACAGCAGAAAATCTTAAAAACTGGCATGGAGTGAAAGAGCATTGACTGACTGCATAGGATTCATCTCACCAGCCTGAGATGTCTTCAGCGTGGGCTTCAGCATCCAAACTCACCATGCCTTCATTGTAGTCAGTGCTAAGATACCATTCCTCTGAGCCGCTTTATCTGCCTGTTTCAGGATGAGACGAGTTGTACCCTGGAGGTACTTCTTTCAGTCAACTGGAAGCTTAGGTGATCAGCTTAGATACAGGCATGCAAAATGGACAGGTGAATCCCACATTTTTTACCTGGAGATGATAGCTCTCTGTAGATCCTCTTTATTCAGTGTTTCTCTTATGACCAGAAGACCCCTAAAAGAAGACAAAATAATTGTACTGAATAGGAAGTTCTTCACTGACAGTTACACTGAGGAGCTTCACCAAACTGCTGTGTCACAGCAGCCCTGATATTTGGCTTACTTAAAAACAGATCACAGAGAGTAAATGTATCATATGGAAGAGCCTCCTGGTAAATCAACAAGATCTAGAAGAAAAGGACAGAAAACGCCCTTTCAAGCCAAACTGTAGCTAAAATACATTGCCTCACATCAAAACCTAGCAATGCCCCATAACATTCAACCTTTTACTATATTTTTATGACAAGGTTTTGGTTAAAAAAACAATACCTGGAGGATTACATTGTGTCAATCACCAGCCCAAGGGTGACTAATACTTTTCATTTCAACCTTCTATTATGACCAGTGGGTGTCTTTGTTAAATTATATGCTGCATGGTGATGCCTAAAGGCTTTGTCTCTTCCCACGGACCTTTCCCTGGCGTTTCTATTGACATGTCAGCAGCAGCTCCATGAGATCTTGGCTTTGCTGTTGGAGCTAGCCTAAGAAGTTGCCAATGCCATTTCACCATTTCAATCCACCGCATGCTTCAATTTGCCGTCATGGCCTCCTCGGTGATGCCACTGCCAGAAATCAGAACTGATTCACTTCTGGGGGGGTGTTTTTTTAAGCCGGTGTGTGGCTCAGCCCTGCAAACCTTTGTTCTGGCAATAGGAGCTGCCCACGGAGAGGGCAGTGCAGTGTGAAGCCAGGTACAAGGCGCCAGGGAAGGGAGGAGAGAGAACATTTTCATTTAGCTTCACTGACAAACCCAGAGTTTTGTGAAATTATGGCCTCTGTGGACCTCATGCTGTATAAAATGAATGGGAAGCTTAAACCAATTAAGCCTGTATATTAATTGTGGAAATCCTTATGTGGTTCTACATTTCCTTCAACAGCACTGGGGTTTTAATTTTTCATTTGAAAGCACAGTTAATTCTCACCTATGCACTTTTTTTCCCTTTCTTTTGCATTTCGGTGAGAATTCAATCTTCATTTTTAGAGTTACTTTCAAAACATAACTCCCTACTCATTGTAAAATATAACACAAAATGAAAATCCCTTCAAGATTCAAATAAAAGTAATTTGGAAACTGAAGAAGAAAGCTTTCAAAGGGCAGACTTCAGTAGCCTTAATGTTTGTTTAAAATATATGCTTTACACTTTAATTTTGATTTCTATAATTTCCCTCACTTAAGCCACAGTCCTCAAAGATTTATGAATTCACAGGATTTGCACAATGCATGGAGTTCAACACAGAGATAAATTTGCAGGATTAAAGGCAGCTGTACTCAGACCAGGGGCACTGTGAGAATTCATGCACGCACAGCTTGCAGAAGCTCATGGTTAGTAGAAGAACACTGGCTTAATTTTAGTAATGCGATGACTTCTGTACCAACTCAGGCCATGCTTACAGGTTAGTTATTACCAGATCTGTGGGCTTTCTGGAATCAGCTTGCTCTGGATCAGATATAAGCACGCAGCAATCTTCCTTCCGTTCAGTTAGCCCAAGTATACAGAAGTATTTCTGTGCCAGCTTTATGCTTTTTAACCAGGTTTAAGCTGGCTACAGTACCTGCTCCACCAGAAAATGATCTGGGACAAAATGACTCCTTTAGAATTTTTTGAACATATTTGAATTGACAGAGTAAGTTCATACAGGTTCACTGCTTTGCATCATGTTGTTGTGGCATTTCTGAATCAGTACACAGTACATCAAGACTATGTTCAGGGCCAGAACAGGGCCTGAGTTCTTGAGAAGTAATGTCCACCTATCTCCTTAGGAGCTTGGTAGGCTTGGAGACTCAACTTGAACTGTGTTTATATAAGCTGGGGGCCTACAAAAGAGCAACCCAACCACCTCCATAACCACTGCTTCACTCAATTCTGCTTTTTCACCACACTGTGAGCACAGCTGAGCTGGATAAAACAAAACAAAATCTGCAAACGGGTTATTCCCAACGTTGATCTGTTTGACCACATGGCTCCGCAAGTAAAGGCACCAGCACAACAACGAGGACAGTGCAGTGACAGGAACCAATGGCCAGGAGGAGATGTGTAGGAAACATGCCCGTGTGCTTGGTGGAGAAGGCTTGGGAGATCCCTACACAAGCACTGCCCGTAGAGAAGTGCCTGCAGAGCCACAGCCACCACCATGTTGGTAGAACAGCTTTTCTTATTCCAGGGCACAAAGGTGGCATGGGTGGGTTGTCTCTCTGCCTTGCTCATCATCCCAAAGCACAGATCTCAGAAACTTTGGGTGAGCATTCCCGGGTGCCCCTGGCTGAGATAAGGCACATCAAGACAAATGTGAGGAGGGACGATACTCCCTGAGGAATTCTGACTCAGGCAGCAAGGAAAAAAGTTTGCTCATAGCTGCTGCAGATGTGGCTCAGGGCCCTGTATAAGAGGTGAAATAAGTGTCACAGTTGGATCATGGGGAGATAACTACAAGCCAGCTTAGCTGCAAGCAGAGATAGCCTGCGACAGCCAGCCGCACTCAGTAATTGCATGCTTTGTGTGATAGATAGCAGGACCAGAAGCAGCTAGCTTGTTAAAACTTAGAGCACAGACAGTGTCCAAAAATATACCCGGGATCTTCTCAATTACCCCAAGCATGCAACAGTATTTTTATGCCAGGTTTATGAATTGTTGCCAGCTTTAAGCCTGGCTGCAGGGCTGACAATTCCCAGTCTGATGTGAAATGCGAGATCCCGGGCTGTGCTGGGAATTCGGCCTGGGTAGTTCAAGTAGGGATGTGAAATCAGCGAGAGACTGTGGCAGCACGAAATCACCCCTCCTTGTCCTGTTCTGTTCCAGGGATGGGAGCAGCCTCCTTGCAGAGGCTGTGGCTCCACAGATGCAAATCCTGTGTGGGCACGTTCAGAACCAGATTCAAGATGCCCCAGCTAGGTGATGCAAATTGCTGAACTTTACTCTGCTGGTTCGGGTTTGTTCACAGATTTCTCTGGGAGCAGGCTGTCCTGGCAAACTTCACACCATTTCAGCTATCAGCTTCTTATGTCCTATGGCTTTAGACGGACCAAGTAGTGCCTTTCTTCAACACATTCAGCATAAAAGCATAAAGATGATAGAAACATCTTATTATGTTATTTTCATAAGAACATTGTCGTATGTTCATTTGTGATCCGGATCAAGTTAGAACTGCTGCGTGCTCCAGTACTGCCCAGGTGTGATATCAATTATTACAGGACCAAAGTTAACTTGTCTCACTAGGCTTTACTGCAATGACATTTGAGGTAACTCCTTCACCCCCAAACGACTTTTAGGACATAGTTGCATGGTACATAGATCTCTGTGCAATAACAACTTGAGGAATTCCTGCTCTCAGGTTACTGTCCACCACTTCTTCAAAGCAGGGCGTTAATAAGAGGTAAAGCAAAGCCTGCAAAAAAATAAAGAAGAAAAGTGTTTTCTTTTTTGCTAAGATCAGACCAGCTACCTGACCACAATACAGGGGAGCTGTACGGGCACAGCCGAAGGAACAGCACAGATGTGGAGCCTGGCAGGGCATGGGGAAAGGTGGGCACCTCTGAAGTGCTGACAGTGCTGCAGTACTCTGCCTTCCCGCCCTGTACTGAGCGGCTGTGGGAAGTGCTCTGCCTCTCTGCCATTCTTCCCGCGCTGGCAGCATTGCTATAGTTAGGCAGCCCCTGTGTTTCAGGAGTCCCTTCAGTCCAGTCCCCCATGCGCTAACAGGGGTGGCCAGGGGATGGACAGTGACGGCCTCCGAGCGTAAGGCTGGTGGAAAGCTGCTCCTTTTGGGCCCTGCGCAACTCGGTGTCACCTCTGCCGACATCCACGCGTGCTTCCCTGCGCTCGGGTCCAACTACATGCCTGAGCCCTGCCTGTGTGTCAGGATGAGGGTAACCCATCGGCCCGGAGGCAGAGCCGTGTCCTGGGGAGGGGGGAACGCAGCAGGGTGTCACCAGCAGCCGTGCGTGCACAACTAGGCAACCAGAGCTGCAGGAACACGTCCACCTATACGACACTGAGACGCAGCATGTAGGAACCTGGGTGTGCCGGCAGTGCTCGCTCAGAGCAGCCCTCACGTGCAGGTGGGAGATAATGGTGATGGAAGCAGCAGAGGAGGAGAAGAGTGTAAGCTGGAGGAAGGCTGATTGTGTGCCATCCTTCTGTATAGGGTCCGCTCCCAGTAGGCGTTATCATCACCAGCATGAGGGGGACTCACCAGCACGAGGAGCACAGGCAGTCCTTAAAGCCTCCCCGCCTGCCTCTGGTTTTGGGAGCCCACCTGCAGCAGGAGGGCTGGACTGTGCAAAGCCTCGCTCAGCCTCGCTCGCCACTCTGTCCTCTGGTACTCCTCACCCTCGCCTGAGCCTCCCTTGTGGACTTTCCTGGCCAAGGCAAGAACCATTTCCCTAGACAGTACAACGGGGAACATGTCTAATACTTCACACTATCACGTAGCTCAAAAACTCTCCCATTTTCCACATAGGGAACGGAGCAGAGGCAGGAAATGGGATGCCCCAAGGCTACGGGATGAATCAGTAGGAGAAACAAAATGAAAATTCAGAACTTCCTGTCTCTTTACTCATCTCCTTGAATACTGTTGATGATTAAGCTCTTAAAAAGTTTGTGCGGTTGATGACCTTTACATCTCTGGTCAGTGATTAGGGCCCCAGTGTATTAAATGTGGAAAAGAATAAAACAAAGAGAATTTCAGAGAATTGGAAAAAAAAAAAAATAATAGAGGGCAAGGAATTTCTTTTGTGGCTAGATCATAAATGTTGGGTTCCCATTACTCCCACAGTGCCTCTTCCAGTAAGGAAGGAAGTTTCTCTAGTTCTACCCCTACGAGTCCACCGAGAATTGAAATTGGCTTAAGCCACAGCTACCACCAAGAGGCAACACTATGGTTACACTTCCTCCCCTGCATGCAGCTTCTGCCCCCGCTCCCTCTCATCAACACAGCCGCTCAAGCAGGCACACGATGAACCAGCTTGAGGAACTGATCAATAGTAACAATTTTTTTTTTTTTTTTTTTTTTTTTTTTTTTTCCTGGGCTAGCTTTGCTATGGCTTCTGGCTCATGGCACAGCTGTATGAATACTTACACTGCCAGAAGGGACGAGGTGCCAGAGGATAGGAACAAACGGCTGGAGAAAGGGAGGCTCAGCCTCTCTCTTCCACAGATGCTGAAACTGCTGAGGAAACTACAGCTTCTCCGTTCCCCCTGCGGCTGTGAGCACAGCGAGCAGGAATGGGTGCAACTGTGTCTGAAGGTGACAGAAAGCAGCACACTGGCCCCACAGCTTTCTCCTGCTTTGTTCCCAAACAGATGGAGCTGACTCAGATTTTTTGATGCTTCTACTTAAGTCTGTCATTAGAAGACACAGTCACTTACTGCTCTGTGTGTGGGGTGGCTATCCACAGTTTCCTTGCATTCCATCTGCATTATGATTTTTGATGGCCATCTCACTCTGTCTCCTTCAGAGGTGCTGGTTTCACTCTGTGAGGAAGAGTTAAAACAGACTGCCCATCTTCTTTCCAGTGGTTTTAGGTCTGGTCTTTTAACCTTTAGACTCTCCAGACAGGGTAAGTACGCTGTACTGGTGAAGAGCATGATGAACATGTGAGCAGGGTGGTTTTGGCCGCAGCCAGAGAGACTTCTTCCTCAAGAAAGCAACCCTTTCATCCCTCCGCTTGTGTAGGAAGGAGAAGGAAGGTGAGGCGGTACAGTGCTTCACCCCGAGAATTAGCAGGAAGCTCTCCTGAGGCATTTACTGCTTTATGAAAACTATTTTTTTTTTTTCCCCTAAAGTTAGGGTATGCGCCAATGTTCAAGGATTCACAATCTTATTGTTAGCACTTTTGTTTCTTTAGCAGACTTCTGGTACAATACTAAAACCAAAGAACAAAACTTTCTATAATAAAATACAAGCTCAAAGCAGAGAAGGGACATGGTAGGGTGGAGCCACATCAGAGCTATAATGGTAAAAATGTGTATTTGGGCTCAGAGCCTCAGCTCTAAAAAACTTGGACTGTATTTTTCAGGGGCACAAGAAAGGCATTACATATTGGGTTTGAAAAACTTGCAGTTCAGAGTTTGGGCTTGAAAATCTTTGCAGCATCCAGAAGTACATAGCAACAGTCTCTGAGGTAGTATTACCACTATGGAAAGGGACTGTGGACTTATAATAGACATGTTCCACAGAGATGTAATTTTCATACTCAACTGCAGTGAAAAAAGGGAGTATCAGAAGAGGACTGAAAACCAGGAGATCACCGTGATGTTGCATGGGGAACCCATTGTGAACATGACAGGTAAATTCTTAAAAAGGTCTTGAAAAAGGAGGCATTAGAAGCATAAATGATTCAATAAAGGGCAAGCGTGGAATGGCTTCCATTTGTGGTATCACTAAAAAGCCAAGAACTTGCTAGCCAGCAAAAACTGAGGGGGAAGACAACAAAAGTCTATAAAAAACAGAAGGTAATGGAGAAAGTGAACAGGCAATTATTGTTGTCTCTTCCAACACAAAAATCAGCAGGGGGAGCAAAGGTGGTCTCCACATAACAAGCAGCTAGTTCATCTTTGGAACTCCCCGCCAGAGGACACTGTGAAAGCCAGAAGCACGTACGGATCCACAAAGTTAAACAGGCAACATAATGGAAGTAAAAAATCATCGGAGTCTATGAAATTTGGTGACAGCAAGCGCTGCCGAAGAACTCCCTGAGCTGCAGAGGGCTGAGAGGATGCGCCAGGGAAGTATCGCTGGATGGTTAAAGTATCCAGGGAGGTATCACTGGATGGTTACAGTATCCAGGGAGGTATCACTGGATGGTTACAGTATCCAGGGAAGTATCCCTGGATGGTTACAGTATCCCTGTGTTATCCCTGTGCTCTTCCCTCAGCATTCACATCTGGAGATGGGACGCGGGGCTGGACAGGCAGTGGGTCTGACCTACCCAGGCTGCTCGTATGCATAAAAGGACAGAGTTAAATAAGCCATGTAATGCAAACCAGGCCGTTGATAATAAATCTTCGTAGAAATCCACTTTTCAAAACTTACTGCATCTCTCGACCTGCTCCTACTACTGCGTGCCTGCACTCGGACCCAGCATCCAGCCCATTTGAAATCATTTGCCTTTTTATGACTGTGGGTTTCTGTACAGAGAACAGTTGCTGGGTCCAGGCCTGAGTTTTCTTCCTTTGTAACTACACTTGATGTGAAAACGAAGCACACCATTAAACTGTTATGGTAATTTATCCTTACACTTTCTGCTCAACAGGTTTGCTTTGTTTTAAAAGTATGTTTCTGTGATACTTATAGCTATGTATATGTAATTTTGTGGTTAAAGCAGAATAGACAGGAAAACCTTGGTTCCCACAGGAAACGTAACTCGACCTCTTGCAAGCAGGTAACATTTTCACTGTATCAGTGTGATAAAGAACTTCAAGGAGAGGCAAATCCTGCCAAGGTTTACACCTGCGTGCAACTGCTTGATGAGACTAGCTCGGGAGAGGTTAATGAGGTTTTTCCACCATTCGGATTCTGCTGGAGGATGCGGCTGGGTGGGAACGGGGCCTGAGAGAGTCCTGGCTCTCAGTAAATCGTGTGTTCAACTGCTATCTTAGGAGCGTTGGATCTGGTTCTGGAGGCGAGGATTTGTCTGTGGTTCTGCAGAGGACTCGGATGGACCCGGAACGTTTTTCCTGTGGGCCAGGGGTCTCGGCGCGGTGGTAGAGAAAGTGAGATTTTGCTGGCCGTCTCACCCCGGGGCCGGGAAAGGCAAATCAAACCACCCCCCCGCCCCACGGGCAGCGGGGTAGCGCCAACCACCCGTGTGCACCTTTCCTGTTACTATGTGCAGCCAGTGCCCCGCAGCCCAGCCGCGACAGCCGAACACAGGCCACGCCGTCCCCTCCACAGGCGCGGCGGGGGGGCGGCTGCGGGCCGGCACGCGGGCCCCCTCCTCACCCACGCCGCGGGGCCGAGGCAGGCTGGGCTGCCCACAGCAGCCGGCGCGGCTGAGCCCTCCCCGTCCGGTCGCGTCGCCCCAAGGCCCACGCCGCGGACACGCGTGGGCCACCCCGCCGACCGAGCCCGGGCGTTGCTGGCGGCGGGGCAGGAGCCGCCCTCGCTCTCCCCCGCCCCGTGGGGGGGCTATTGTTGGCCGGTCTCCTCCCCGGCCTCCACTTTTTCTCTCCCCGCGAGTTTACCCGGCAGTGCTTTGGTGCGGGCGCGTTTCCGCCGGTTTTTCCTGTTGGAGAAGGGAAGGGGGAGCTGTTTTCTCTCTCTGTATTTTGTATCCCTTTTCTCCTCCTCCTCCTCCTCCTCCTCCTCCCCCTCCTCCTCCCCCTCCCCGGCTATCTTTGTCTGGCTCGCAGCACCCCGCTCCAGCCCCGCCGCCGCCGCCGGGACGCGCAGCCCCTGCCCGCCGGTGCTGGGCGCCGTTTCATGCGAGGGCAGCGCCGCGGGGAGGGGGAGGCGGCGGGGGCTCTGCCGCGGCGCTGGGCGTGAGCCCCCCCCTCCACCCTCCATGCGAGGAGAGCGGGGCCGCGGCTGCCGCTGCCGGCTCCCGGCGTGAGAGCGCCGGGCCGAGCCGAGCCGAGCCGAGCCGAGCCGAGCCGAGCCGAGCCGAGCCGTGCCATGCCCGGGCCCGGGGCTCACCGAGAGGCTGCCAGAGGCTGCCGGCCCCGGCGCCGCTCCTGCCGCCGCCACCGCCGCGACATGGTGTGAGCCCGCTGCCGCCGGGGACACGCGCGGGCGAGCACCCACCGACCGAACCACCCACCCACCCACCCACCCAACCCACAGGCCGGCCGGGGCACCGCCGCCCGCCTCGGGGGGACCCAGCCCCGCGCTGTATCGCGGGGAGACGGACCGCGGCGCCCCCCTTTTCTTCCTCCTTCCCTTCCTTCACCTCCCTCTCCCCCCCCCCCCCCACCCCCCCTCCTCCCACCATCCATCTATCTATCCATCATCCCCCCGCCAACCCCTCCCAATGCTGAAGAGTTTCAACCCGGCGGGGCTGGAGTGAAGAAGGGAAGGGCGGAAGGGAGGAGAGGAGCTCCGCGCAATTCACAGCTGCTTCGGGGAGGGAGGAGGAGGAGGAGGAGGACGAACGAGGACGAGGAAGGGGGGGGGGGGGCGGCCTCGCTATTATTTAAAAGAGAAGAAAAGGAAAAAAAAAAATAAAAAAAGAAGAGACGGGAAAATGGCGAACGATTCTCCTGCAAAAAGTCTGGTGGATATCGACCTTTCCTCCCTGCGGGTGAGTGCCGGGGCGGCGGGGCGAGGGCCTGCCCCCCACTCCGGGGCTGGCGCGCCCCTTGCCGGGGTTGCCGGGCTTGGGGGGGGGGGGGGTGGGGGTGGGAGCGGCCGGGCAGGAGCCGGGGCCGGTACCGGGGCGC